TGTTGGGGTCACACCAGGCCGGGGGGGGGGAGCTGAGCCGCGAAGCCACTGACCAGCTCGTAAACCACCGCGGAGCCGCCGGGGCCTGAGTCAGCCGGTGCCGTGTCCTCGCACGCTCCCGTGTCCCTGGGGTCCCTAGTCCCCCATCACTGGGCTCAGGAGGAGCACGGACCCCGGTCCAGCCTGGGGCATCGCTGTGGTTTGGGGGAGGGGACACCCCCTCCCCTGCACCCTGCTGCTGTGCCATAGCCGGAGCTGCGGCGGTCACCGGCAAAGCCACCGGGTCTTGGGGGGTCGTGGCAGCCAAGCTCACCCCATGGGTTATATTTTGGGTTTGATTTATCCCTCCTTGTCCCGACACATCCGTGGGGACACGTTTCGATATCCCCCCCCCCCCGCCCGAGACCCAGTTCGCTGGGGACCCCAGCAATGGTGACACCGGCACCCAGCCTGCCGGCTCGCACCCAGCCCGGTGCTGAGTGGGGATGTTAGAGACACAGGACAGGGCTGCTGGAAAACTTGCTTTATTTTAAATTAACATGGGAGAAATAAATACAAATACTAAATAATAACAATAATAATAACATTAAATAATAATAATTATAATAATAATAATAATAATAATAATAATAGAAAAAGAGGCAATCACAAGACTGGAGTTCTCTCTGGTGCCGGTTGTGCCGGGCTGGCCATGCCGGTGCATGGGGACAGCCGTGGCCCCGGGGTGGGGGTCAGCCCGGTATCCCGTCCCCGTGTCCCCCCCCTGCCCTGGGGCTGGGGTCCCCAGGGCATGCCTAGCAGGCAGGGAGGCCATCGAGGCGGGCGGCGATGCCGTCCAGGCAAACGCGAAGCCGCGCCAGGGCCAGCCCGGCGGCAGTGTGGGGTGCTTCGACCAGCAAGTCGGATAAACCGGGGGGTCCCGGGGGCCCCGGGGGGGTGCGGAGCGGGGGACAGCCCAGGTGGGTGGCCAGGGCGGCCAGGAGGCTGCGGAGGTTCTCCATGTCGTTGGCAATCTGGGCAAGCGGTAGGTTGCCGGCCGCCAGGCCGCCCAGCAGGCGCTGGAAGAGCTGGAGACGGTGGTCCATGGCCCCCAGCCCCTCGGGAGCCCCCTCCCCCGGGATGGCCTCCAGCCCGCTGATCTTCAGGCTCAGGGGGAAGAGCTGAGGGGGGGGGGGGGAAGGCATGGCACCCACTGCCCGCTCCTCGGGCAGGGGTCCTGCCCCACCTGCTGTGGGAGACCTTCCTTGGGGACCCCCCCTCCCCAGCTGGGGTGTAGAGACCCCCTCACACTCAGCCCCGGGCATCCCTTGGGGCACAGGGTCCCCCACCCAGTCATGGGCATCCCTCCCTGGGACCCCCCCTCATCTGGGGCACAGACACCCCCCCAGCATCCCTCCTCGGGGACCCCCCATCTGGGGCACAGAGCCCCCCACCCCCAGCCATGGGCATCCCTTGGGGCACAGGGTCCCCCACCCCAGCCATAGGTGTCCCTCTCTGGGGACTCCCTCCCCCAGTCTGGAGCACAGAGCCCCCCCACCCTCTGCTGGGTGTCATCGTGTCCCCCCTCACAGCGACCACCCTGGGGCGCAGGGCCCCCCACCTCACAGCCCAGCCCCCTCCCTTGGGTGACATGGGGCATGCAGTGAACCCTATGGGGTGGCCCTGGGAGGGGGGGGGACACCCCCCAACCCCCCCCGCCCGTCCCGTTCCCCCCCCCCCGGGCCTCACCTGCAGCTGCTGGATGCGGGTGCTGAGGGGGCGGGTGAGGTTCCTGGTGTCCGCCCGGACCTTCTCCAGCCGGACGGGACGGCCACTGGCCAGCGGCACCCACAGCCAGAGGAGACTCCAGAGGGACACACTGGGCCACCGCATCCTGCTGGGCTCTGCGCCGGGTGGCACGGGGGTGTCAGGTGCCTCGGGGGGGGGTCCCCTGCACCCCAAAAATGCCACACACACCTCTCCCCGAGAGGGGACACAGAGGATGCTCTGACCCCTTGCTGGGGACACATCCCCGTCCCTCATCCCAGGGGACATGGGGAGCATCCTCCCGTGGTGGGGTGCCACAGGGAGGGGGACACACTAAGATGGGTGTCCCCAAGCTTTGTGTGTGTGTGTGTCCCACCCCCAGTGCTCCCCAGGGGATGGGAACAGAGTGGTGCGGTGACATGCCCAGGGACACGGGGGAGAAGCGGTGTCAGGGTGGCACGTGGACGGCCACGTCCCTGCTGTGTGCCAGCCCTGGGACAACCGGAGCCGGGTCCTCGTCACCGTGCCACCGTGCCCCCGCCAGCACGTGCCGATGTGGCTGTGCCCCATCACCTTCCCGGAGCTGCCCTTTCGCAAGCGCCGCCCCGGCCACCCACGGCCCAGTGTCCCCAGCCGTGGCCGTGACCATGCAGGGCTGCCACCGGAGCCTTGGTGACAACGTGGCCGGGGGACACTGCTTTGGCGGGGATGGGGGGGGAAGTCTCAGAGGGCCAGGGGTGGGTGCTGGCTCCCCAGCACCGTGTTCATTCCCTGGGGATCCCCATCCTCTGTGGGCAGGATGAGGCCAAGAAAGGAGCATGGGTAGTGGAGGGACCCCGGGGTGGCATGTGTCCCCGTCACCCCCTGCCTGGGGATGGGGACAGAGCCCGGGGGGGAGGGAGGGGGGAGACACGGGGACAGGGGGGAGCAGAACAGCTCCCACCCCAGTACTCACCGGAGACTCGTACCCACTCACCGAGCCTGGAACGAGAGAGTCGGGAACAGGGGTGACACGGGGACCTCTGCCAGGACCCCCACGGTGCCACCACCCCACTGGCCTGGGTGGGGGGGGCCGTCAGGGCTGGGGGGGCAGGCGGCCCCTTGGGGAGTGCAGGATGCTCAGGCATCCCCCCAGCATCCCCCCAGTGCTGGGGGACGCAGCTGGTGGCACTACTGTGGCCTGGCCAGTGCTGGTTTTACCCAGGGTGGGGGGCTGGCATGTGTCCCTGGAGATGGGGTGCGGGGGACACACACACAAACAGGGACATCCCGTCCCCAAGGTGCTGAGCCCAGCGGAGGTGGCTGGTGCCAGACCAGGCCGGCGGCTATGCCAGGATTGTGCCGGGGCTGTGCCGGGCATCGGGCAGGTGAGGCTGGTTCAACCTGCTGCCCACCTGCCCAGGGGTAAGGGGGGGCCCGGACCTCTCGGGGGGGGGGGCTGTGGTCCCCAGCCAGGCCTGGGGACAGTGTCCCTGCATGTCCCCTGGTGTCATGGGGGGGGACTGGGGTCCCCCGGCTCGGCAACCCACGGCACTCGGGGGGGTCCCTTGGGGTGGTGCAGCCTGGGGACCTGGGGTGGGGGTGTCCCAGAGTGGGGGTGTCCTGGGGCAGGGGTGTCCCACGGTGGGGTGACCCTCAGGAAGGGGTGTCCTCGGGTCGGGGTGTCCCGGGGGAATGGGTGTCCCATGGTGGGGGTGTCCTGGGGAAAGGGGTGTCCCAGGAGAATGGGGGTCCCTGGGGCAGGGGTGTCCCATGGTGGGGGTGTCCGGG